AAACTTATTTTTGATATCAATGCATTAAAATGATTTAAAAACACTAAAAAATATTAATTTAAAATAAAAAATAAATTTTTTTAATTTTTTCTGAAACTTTTTTATAAAACAAAAGCAAATAGGAATGCGTAGAAACCACTATTCACTTGTTTCGTTTGAGAAGCAGGTATAAATAAAAATATTTAATCTTGTAATATAGGTTGTTTATGTTTAATAATTTTATATATTAAAATTATTATTTTTCATTTAATAATAAAAAAGAAACACACACATTTGAATTAATAAAATTAAACAGGAAAAAATATCTTTTATTAGAAATACTATTAAAATAATAAATATTTTTTATTTTTAAAATAAAGTTCAATCATATTATAAAACAAAAAAAAATTACATATGAATTAGAACAATATCTTCAAAAAATGAACACATGCAAAATAATTAAAAAAATATTTAAAAACAGTTAAAAGTTAAAAATAAGAGAGAAAGTACCAATGCTTAAGCCCTCCTTTTTTACTCAATTAAGGTGGACTGCATGTTGTCCACCCCAATATTTTTTGAAAAAAAAAAATTCAAGATAGCTCATAGTTTGGTTTCGATAAATCCCAATTACTTTGATGAGTAGAAAAATAGATTTTATGTTTTTTTTTATCTACACACCTAAAAAAAAACCTAAACATCCTGACAAACCTATAAATAATCTTTAAAAAAAATCACGTAATAACCTAAAATCAACTTGAAAAAAAAATTGATGAGCTTAAATCTAGTTTTTTTAGATAATTTAAAGGTAAAAAAACATTTTAGTAAAACTCCCCTCGTAAAATGAAATCTATTAATTTCAAAATCAATCATTTTAATAACTAAAATTTATGTTAATGTTGATTTTTTCTTTGTACTATCAAAATATAGTAATCTCTCTTTCCTTTTTCAAATAGAGACCAAAAATTTAAAATATAAATTCTTATACTAAAATTGAATTAAAAAAATATTAAGTGATCAAATATATATAATTTATAAAATTAAAAAAACTAAAATAATTTTTTTGTGATAACTTTTAACCATTCACCTATTTTTTTATACATTTTCCACTTTGATTCTCCTTCTAATCTTGTACTTGTCAACAAATTTGATTCAATAAATAATCAGCTAATGTTAATGATAGTTAGCATCTCTCTTAGAATAATACCATAATAATCAGTCAAATCAACTTGGTATGAATTAGAACAATATCTTCAAAAAATATACACATGCACAATAATTAAAAAAATATTTAAAAAAGGCCAAAAGTTAAAAATAAGAGAGAAAGTATCAATGCTTAAACCCTTTTTTTTACTCAATTAAGGTGGACCGCATGTTGTCCGCCCCAATATTTTTTGAAAAAAGAAAATTCAAGACGGCGCATTGTTTGGTTTCGATAAATCCCAATTACTCTGATAAATAGAAAAATAGATTTTTTTTTTATCTACACACCTCAAAAAAAACCTAAACATCCTGACAAACCTATAAATAATCTTAAAAAAAAATCATGTAATAACCTAAAATCAATCCGAAATAAAAAAAAATTGATGAGCTTAAATCTAGTTTTTTTAGATAATTTGAAGGTAAAAAAATATTTTAGTGGAACTCTCCTTATAAAATGAAATCTATTAATTTCAAAATCAATCATTTTAATAACTAAAATTTATGTTAATGTTGATTTTTTCTTTGTACTATCAAAATATAGTAATCTCTCTTTCCTTTTTCAAATAGAGACCAAAAATTTAAAATATAAATTCTTATACTAAAATTGAATTAAAAAAATATTAAGTGACCAAATATATATAATTTATAAAATTAAAGAACTAAAATAATTTTTTTGTGATAATTTTTAACCATTCATCTATTTTTTTATACATTTTCCACTTTGATTCTCCTTCTAATCTTGTACTTGTCAACAAATTTGATTCAATAACTAATCAGCTAATGTTAATGATAGTTAGCAGCTCTCTTAGAATAATACCATAACAATCAGTCAAATCAACTTAGAGAGCATTCAATAATTGATTAACTATTGCCTATAAGAAGATGAATTTGAATTTGGGAACTATTGGGAATTTTAGGGCACATTTATGATTTTTTCTGGGGATCAATTAAAGGGTTTTTGGCTGGTATTTGGACACTATATAACATTCAATTAATGTACAATGAAATTAACAAAAATATTAAAAGATTTGAAATTCGAGGTGAAAACATTCTTCATAGTAAATCATCATATATTTTTTTCTATTCACATCCTTCTTCTTTCCTCTTTTTTTTTTACTGGATTTTTTTTATTTTATTTGCATCTTTTTTTATTAAATTATTTTATTTTTCATTTAACCATTGTAATTCATTTCTGCAAAAATAATGCTTTATAAATCATGAAATGATAATTTGAATTATGAATAGTGAACCATTCTAAACTTTTTTTATTCATATTTTTATAATTGAGTTTTTTTTCATTCATTTCCTTTTTTTAGTTAAATCCTTTTATTTTTCATTTAATAATTGTAGTTCAATTTTATATCATTGATGCTAGGTAAACAATAAAATAATATTTGGAATTATGAACAGGTAATGCGAGATGAAAAAACATTAAAAAAATAATGTAAATGCAACATAGAAGAAATACACAATCTAATTATGAATTATGTTTTCTTTTTTTTTACTTGATTTTTCTTTGTCACTTGATTTTTTTATTTTCAATTTAATCCTTTCATCTTCAGTTGACTTGTGATTGAGTTTCATTTATTATTTTATTTGTTTTTATAGGAGCTTTTGTGATGTTAAAAATAAATTTTAATGTTAAGTCAATGCTTGATTCAAAAAAATTAAATTAAATTTTATTAATTTAAATCAATTAAAATTTTAGATACCTAATTTCAAGCTGAAACAGATATTTAGTATCTTTATTCTAAGAAATAATGATTGGAACCAACATATTTTTTATAATTTTTTACCATGTATAATTCTCAATTTATTTTTTTGAATACATTATAAACATTTCAGGTTATAGTTAATTTTTTTTCTTGATGATAAAATTAAAATCTATAATAATACTTGCACCTTTTTTGTGTTGAAAACAATCCGCCCCATCCCACATTGTAGTGCATAGAGAATTAAACTAGTTAGGAAAAAAAAATGTTTGGGGAGAATTAAAAAAGAAGAAGAGAAGAAGCTATAGCAGATTATAAATTATTATAATATATCATAATATGGAATGCGCATTTTAGAGCTTGTTTAAAATTGTTTGTGCTTCAACTAAATTTTTTGATATTTTTAAATTATTTTGATGAATTTGTATTAAAAATAAATTTTAAAAATAAAAAAATATTATTTTAATATATTTTTAAATAAAAAATATAAAACTAAATAAATTTTATTCTATTTTAACTTTTAGCATCAAACATCGAGCCTTCATATTTCAGAACTAAGATATAATCGACTAATTTATAGTTGGGCCTCATGGTGGGTTGCTTGGGAGTTGGGGTATATAGTTTCAAAAACTCCTTATTGTTTTTTTTTTTTTTGAAATGTATAATAAAACTTTACATGCTTGTAACATGATAAACCGATATAATTTCTATTTTTTTTATTACAAATCTAATTATAAATCCGAATAAGGTTGTTAATTAAAAACATTTTTTTCATCTAGGATTGTCTGAGGGTACAAAATATCAATGGTAAAATCATAAGTTTTTACAATTTCTAAGAAAAATATATAATAATAATATACAAACAAAAAGTCCTAAAAAGATTTTAAATAATAATTATGATCTCTATCAATAATCAAGCAATAATAATAGTAGAAGAAAACATAAAAAAATCTAAAATATTAATTAATACACTAACGTCTTAATTACAAATTTCATGATCAAACATGTAAATTTAAAAATACTAAATTTTAATGAATTGTTTCTTTTGTCAAAAGTAGCTATACTTAATTGAAGGCTATGGCAAAGTATTTTTATTTTCTTATCAGATTAAATTTCATGAGAAAATTAAAGATATAACTAATTAGGTAAATTCTGTTAGATACACTTTTATCAAACATATTTTCTATATAATAAACAGAATCTTCTTACATTTGTACACTCTAATTAGCTTTTTTATAATAATAGAATCTTTTAATTCATATAATTTAGCCTAATTATGCAATTTCCATCGGGTCCCGTGTTGAAGCTTTTAAGCCTTGTTAGAAGATTTTTTAGGCTCGACACCAAATCAATTAGGCTGAGCCAATTAGCAAAAGGGGGCGTCAAAAGATATCAAATTGGAGCATCTCCGTATCCCTGCATAAAATCTTGAAACTCAATAATGGTGTCACCGTATCTAAAGTTCAGAATTTGACAAGCCCGACACTTCCAAATAATATGGATCTCCACGAGGGCTCAACTTTAGAAGTACAGGGTTATCAAGAATCAAGAATGAACAAGTAAACGCTCTGTTTTTTGTTTTTGCAGTCCCTGCACTTTGCTGAGTTAGATTCAAGTGTTTTCATGTGCAAATAAGGCATACATGGCGGTTTAGTTATAGGCACCGTTCAATCTATTCACCCAAAAAGCCAACACTGATGGCTTGTAGCCCACTGACGCGCTATAAAGCAGCATCTCCATGCCCAGGGCTAGCTGATTGCATAGTTTCGCCTACCAATGGCAAGAAAGTTGATGCATAATGGCTAAAAGATGACCGGCCACCGGACGAGCAGTGCCATTTCCCTACCTGAAAAGCCCTGAGGAGGCAGCAGGACTTCGAAGTCTTGAATAGACGAGTGTATTACTCGAAAGAAAATCATAAATTGAAAAGAGAAGGAAAAAGAAAGAAAGAGCAGTAAAGTAAACACGTATAATACTTGTGGAAAGTAAGAATGTAAAGAAACTGTAATCAAGAAAAGAGAGTTCATCCAATAGACTGATAATATCCCCTTACAAAAACCTCAGAAGAGAAATGGCAAACATTGATTAAACAAAGAAAACACTCTACTTTCATTTCCTATCGTCGTCGTCATCGTCATCATCATCATCAAAATCACCTCCATCCTCATACTCCACATCTTCATCGAAATCCTCAATCTCCTCATCATCATCAACGTCCTCAGCATCTTCTTCATCCTCATCACTGATCACCCTCTCGCTCTTCCCACGTGCCTCCACACGACCCATCTCTCCGAACCGACCAAATCTCCAATTCAAAGCCCCGTTAATGTCACTCACAAGACCAGCATTAGACTGAACGCCAAGTAAATTCAAGACGGGCTTTTGCTGTGGTTGGAATAGTGCAGGGTCAGAAATCATGAACTGGCTGGTAATGTTATTGGACCCACCTAAAAGAGAGCCGCGGAGGAGATGGAGAGGGAACGACTTGCCGTTCTTGAACAGCATCATCCTTGTCGCTGGGGTTGCCATTTGAGAGGAGGAGAGACTGGAGAAGTGTTTTGCTTGCTCTGTTTTGGGGACGGGTGGCGATCTTGTCCAGGGGCTTTATATAGGGAGGGTTTAGGGTTTTACGACGGTGGAGGGCACACGTGGCAGTAGGGAAGGTTGAAGGAAGTTTCTAGAGACCGTGATCGTGATGATTCGTTGAGGCCAAGTTGCTTTGCTAAGAAACAGAATCAAAGCATCAAGCTTGATTCTGATGAGGTGTGTGAATACAAATGCAAATCCTTCCCCACCATGCTCCTTAATAAATAATGAAAGAATACCTCCCTCCATCACTTCACAGTAATCACCATTATCACCTCCATCATGGACACTACTCTGGCATCTTCACCTTCGTGTTCATTGTTAGTATTAAAACTACTATCACTAATATATCATCTTCATTATCATATTATATTTATAATTTTACAAATATTTAAAAATATTTTTCATGTAAAATATTTTACAAAATTTTAAGGTAAAAATAATATTAATTTCTAAAATATTTTTTTATTTTTTGAATAATTTTATGCAAAGCAAATATCCCTGTGTTTTATTGGTTTAAGACTGATCAATGAAGGGCACCCCAAACAAATAATTTGATAATTGTTATATTAAATTAAAACTTATCAATCTTGAAGGGTCCGCTTGATGTTTAAAAAGATTTTTCTAGGAAAGAATTTCAAATCTTGATAATAATATCTAAGAAAATTGTAATTTGATAATTGACATTTTCTTATACAATTTTATTTGTTTATGAATGGGAGTATCCATTGGATTAGAATTATCCAATGGCATCTTTTTAATATTTTATCTATATATTGCTATTCAGATATCCAAAGAGTTCTATATTTTCTATATCTAATAACTTTGATGCCTCATATATATATATATATATATATATGTGATGTTCTCAAAATGGGATTTTAAAAAACAATTCAATTTATTAATAGATGTAATATCATTACCAACAACAACATGTAAACATAAAAATATCCCTACTATTCCAATAATAAATACAATGATCAAAGTCATTAGCTATAAAACCATATTTAATAATAGCATCAGTGATAGTAACAAACATATTTTTAGCAAAATCATGCTCCTCAAATAAAATTTCTATGTCAAGTTCCATAAAAATAAGCATGATTTCTCATAAGACCTAATAATAGAAGAGCTATTATCTTCAGGTAATGGGAGTGAAACACCAACATCAATTATGCAATCAATTTTATCTTGAAAAAAAATATAAAAAATTCAACGCTTTTAAATAGGAAAATTAGTACCCTTTACTGTCTTAGTTTTGCTTAATTTGTAACTAACAACCTTAGCCAAAATTATGACAATTAATTTTTTTAATTAAACAATTAATCAATAATGGAGGATCTTGTTATAGTTATGTATACCTTGCTTTACTAATATGTTGTTGATGCGTGATGGAGACTAACGTTGATGCTTATCTAACTTGAAAAAAAAATGAAATTATGACCATAATGATAATTAAGAGGGAAGAAAAAAGAATGTACCAAGTTACGTTATATGAAGCAAATGAAAAATTATAAGAACCACAATAAAAATTTTAGACTTTGATACCAATTATAGCTTTTATAATTTATGCAAGAAAAAAATTAATCTAAATAAAAAAAATTGATATAGATTAGTGGATGACTGACTTTGGATTTATCTAAAAAACACTTTTATTTATATTTATGGAGGAGTTTGTTACCTCATTATGAAAAATATCTAGATAAATAATATATTTTTTAATGTTAATGCTCCTAAAAATTACCAACCTTATCTCCCATGAAATCCATATTTACATATAAAATCCTAGATAAGTGCAACCATATAACAGTTAGCTAGAGCAAGTTAAACTCCATAAAGTCAACTTGATCAAGACTAATAATATGGAGATATTATTGCAAGGTTCTCAAATTAAGTTTTGCCACTACATTTATTTGTCTAGCCCTGTTATTAGGGTTATTTAGCCACTTTATTCAACAGCTCATTGAGATGTTGCTACTACTATTTGGGTTTCAATCTAAATCCCATTGCATAATTATTCTAAGAATTTCAATAAATCTGAATCACTCACGGTTTTGTTATTCCAAAATTTATTGGAATTTCATTTAAAATCATTAACATATTTAAAGCTAAATTAAAAGGTCAACTCGCTTTTAGATTAGAAATTTGTTAGAATTTAACATAAAATTATGATAAATTTTAGATTAGAAATTTGTTAGAATTTAATCTCCAACATAAGTTATTTAACATAAAATATTAGCATAATTTAAATAAATTATGATAAATAAAAAATTGATTTGAAAGAACCTTATTCTTGGTAGACATGTTTTTTAAAAACTCATAACCTTCTAAAAACTTTATCCTTCATAAAAGATAAACAAGCTTTCTTAGTAGTTTATTTTCTAGAGTTTGAAAAATTAAAATTAAACTCAAAAAACATTTAAGTTTTTAAAGGATAAACCTAAGCAAGTTGGGTTTTTAACTTAAACTTACATGCATCTCAGCTTAATTTTAAGTTAGGGCTTAGGTTTATTATAAAATATTTTCTTAGACTATAAAAGGCTATTTTTTGCCAATCTATTCTAAACTTGAGCTTGAATTTATAATTTTTTAGTCTATAAAGAATTAATTTTTGTTGGCCTATTATTTTGCTAATCCAACATATAAATGATAGAATCTGATCAATTATTTTTTAATTTTTTTGAAATGTTTTTTCACCTTAAAAGACAACTAATCCATTATAGTTTAATTCTATTTTTTTGGAGGGTAATCAAAAGTAGTGGAAGGTATTCCATTAGTTTTGGTTCTTAAGATTCTATATAAAAGTGACACAGTGTATACCATTGATAGAAATTAGGGTTCCTCAATCCTTAAAGGTTTAGAGTCCTTAATCATAGAGAAAGAAATTAGAGTTCTCAGATCCTAATATTAAAGCTCTTAAATATAGAGAAAATTATGATATATTCAGAAAAAAAAATTTAATTTAATAGTCTTCAAATAAATCAATAAAAATAGACTAAAAGAATATCTAAATACAAGAAAGACAACTTAATTAGTAAAATTCTAATTAAATTAAAGGTCATATTGACCTTCGATCAAGTGAATCAATTTTTGTCTCTTAAGTTGGTCTCCCTTGGTCTGACAAAGCCCTAAGATTCCCGTAAAATTTATCTTCACAACACCTTCCACATAGATAATTGATTGTCTAAGTGGATTTTCAAGAATAAAGATAGAGTTAAACTTGCTCTGAGATAAATCTCTAGATATATTCATCTTTTTTTTTTTTTATGATTTCTATTTGTGTTTACCCATCTTAATTGATATATCCACTTAGTTAAGTCTACCACAGAATGCTTTTATTAACCAAGTTTTTTTAGTAGGTTTTTCACATTGCCTCTCGAGCTCTTATAGGATCCCAGATGACATCCACTTTTGCATTATAAAATAAGTTATTTCCATGTTCGTCCATCAAATACACTAGCCTATTATGATACTAATTAACGCAGTATATAACATAGATAAAAGCTATAATTATGAAGCCTTAATGTTATAGCTTTTAATTGTAAATAAAACTTTGATTAATTTTAAAAAAAATATTTAATTCAATAATGTTCGAATAAAAAAATCCCTTGATAGTTTTAAATATATATAAAAAAAATTAATTATTAAAATCATAATTAAATTTAAAGTTTTAATCAAAATAGAAAAAAATCAAAATACTAGCAAAATTTCAACTCAATTTAATAATTAAATAATTAAAAGTAATGATTGTTTTACTGGATAGTGTGATGAACTTCTCTAGACCTCCTCAAGAGTTGAAAAATCTTAATTATTAAGGAACTTATATAGTAAAAATGATTATGCCAAAAATAATATTAAAAAGAAAAGGTACAAAAGTTCCTCATGTCAAAAAGGCAAGGTGAAGAAAGTGTTTCAGGGGTTGATTTTTCTGCACAAATTCTGTAGTTTTTTGCACTTTTTTTCACCTACATTTCCAGTTTTACTCCTCTATTTGAAGCTCAATGTTTCCTCTTTATTTTCTTTCTAGAGTTGAGGATGATTTCTTATAAAGAGATATTTAAATCTATATTCTTTTAAATTCGTTAAACCTTATTTATAAGAGCACTTAAATAAAGAGTTCTTGGAATACTTTGAAGTTTATTGAAGTTAGTTATTTAATGGCGAGTAGAGAACAATAAAATCCGACAGCAACAAGAAGTTTTATATTGGTTATTAGAGCCGAACTAGATTTCTTGTGATGAGCTCCCCCAAAATCAGCATCACCTTCTGAGATTACCAGGAGCTATGAACAGCCAGCAAGCAAGCAGTGCAATCTTCGAATGAATTCTTGATCAAGTTCTCTAACATGTTTCCACTTTCAGAAGTTCCCTTAAGAACTCATCCAGAAACTTCAAGTAAATCATTAATCACTAAAAACAAAGGCTAAATTCAACAACGACCAATTTCAAAATAAATATTGAAAGCTGTCCCTTTGGTAATGTATCTAGAACAAAACTTCGAACTCAGTTGCAGCCAGTACCCACCATTTCAACATGATTGCAGGTTGCCGACACCATTTTTACATTGCAACTGAACAAGTACATAGAACTTTATGATCTCATCCTTATCTACATCCATGTACAGGTACAATTTGGGAAAATAAATATCATATAGAAATAAACATCTAATTGTCCATAATAAAATTTTGGACTTCTCAATATGAATCAGGAGACCCGAATTGCGTGTCAGGTATGTAAAGATGCTTTCCGTCACTTCTCAAAATTGATTACTCGTCGATAACTCATTTATATTGCGGCCATGGGTACATTGCCTGATAAGTTATCACCCCCGTTTCCTGATGTTCGGAATTTTTCAGTGTCCTGGACTCCAATTTGTGAAAACTGCTTCGTTAGTATATCAATATAGGCAGGTAAGCAGTCCTTAAAACTCTTGGAGCAACTCTTATCACCCTCGTCAACATCCTGAACCCCACCGTTGACCAGACAACCCACCTGAGCACCATCCATGTAGGCTTTACATGCCACCAGAATATCATTAGCACGCTTGTGGAAATGACCCAGTACAAAATCCTCGAAATGCTGCAGCCAACCATGATTTGAATTGATTAGTTTTAAAATCTAAATATAAGCAAGCCTTTTCACAAACTTAGAAATCTCATGCACGGTTTGCTAGTATTAATGCAAGCCTGGTCTGTGCTCACTGGGTCTATGCACATGAAACAATTACCGTTCAGACTATTTCGGTTATTCATGGCGAGTACCCTCGTCTTCCTAAACTTCCAATGGTTCTCATTTTTGACATATTTTAAATGTACTAAAAACTTCTCCAATTGGCACTTTAGTGGTGGAACATAGGAAAGTCACCCATATTTTCAATAATTTAAGCTTCTCCTGGGATTGTTATCCAAATAATTCAGATTAACATTTGAACCAGCAATAATTCATGAAGCAAATAAGCTGTGAAAGAAACTTACCTTAGGCGGCCTCCTCATTGTGTAAACCATTGTTTTCAGCGAAAAGCAAAAGGTACTCTCACTGTACTCCTGAGATCGCTTTTCACCATTTGCCGAACCACTCAATCGTTCATATCCAGGCTCATTAAAGAAGGGCTTCTGATTCAATATCAATGCCTGTATAGATACCAGAACTTGTAGCACAGTCGAGACTCCAGGCTGCCACATCTCATTCTTGTTACCCTGCCAGGTCCCAAGAAGGCTGAGGCATACTTTACCACAATTGTACAGGTTTGGGTTGAGTCGAAGACCACCAGAATGGTAGTAGACAAGCTAGCACAGACAAATCCAAAATTATGAGATGGAAAACTGTTCAACAGAAGATGAAAAAATAACACACACACAACCTCTATCACATACCGGTGGTACTTTGGGGTAGCCAGCAGGGAAAAAAAAATCAAAGAAAAAGAGACCATCGTGGTAGGGAGTACCCTCTGCTCCAATAATTACAGCCCGCAATAGGTCCATCCTTGTTTCATAAACCCTAACAAATATAGAATCTGTTGACATAATAATAGTAGGACAAACAAAACGTGAGAATGAATTATGCAAATATTGAAAATTTATAGCCTATTAAAATCATAAAGTTTCTCTTGATAGTAAAGTGAAAAAAAGGCAACATGCTTAAGAGCATTAATGAAATAGAGGATGAGATAAATAAATAAAAAGTCCTTGTGACATTCATTGTTAGTATACACATAAACATTGGTACACCTTCACCAGTTTCCCCCTTGTGATTCTGAACGGGTAAACATAATGAACAACATGAAGGGAGCGGTGGGTAGGAGGTCCTTAGGAGAAGAAGAAAATGGGACCCAACATCCACTCAAACTTGCAATAGTAATTAATGATCAGAATCAGAAAGGTTAAAGCTTACCCGGCAAATCATTTTCCAGGATTCTCCACTCTTCCTGAATTCTCTTTGCCCAGGTCTTTGGTGGCTGCCAGAAAGAGGATGCTATAGCATTATGTAATCAAATCATTGATAGAAAGATAAAAGAAAAGTTAGCATGGTTGCATCTTCTAAAACAATCACCTGCTTCATCGAAGAACTACTAGTATAGTGATGATCTGAATGATCTTCGACTGTATCAAATTGTTTAAATTGTTGAAACTTTCTGAGGATATCATCTTTATCTACATTTTTTGGAGTTCCAGCTGCACTGTCTTCAAGAGGGATATGCAAAGCATCAAATGGATCATAGAGTTTTGGATGACTTGTATGGTTAGCAAATGAGTAATTTAATTTTGACACCAATGAAGAGGTGGAAGGGCTAATAATAGGAAAGTGATCCAATCCACCAACAAATGGAGAAGCAGGATTGGTATGTCCCAAATGTGCTGGGCCAGCTCCATGAGGGAGCATAACACCGTCTAAGTGCTTTGCATAACCATAATCAGTCATACTTGAAGAAACCAGCTCTGTTTTACTCTGGAAAGGTGCAAAATTCAAGGCACTCCCCCCATGTTGTGAAACATCTTGTTCTTCCTTACCTTGGGCAGTTTGGGGAAGTAGCCAATGAGAGGACAGGTTCACTCCAGAATCATGGCTCATGGAATCCATTGGGTTATGAAAACTTAAACCACTCACTGAACTCAGCTTCTTGCTTACATGGCCCGGCTTCAATGACCATGAACCACCACCATTAGATTGCTTTTGATTGTTTGTATTGAAAGAAGTAGTTCCATTAGCAGATTTCTTAGTGTTATTATCAGAATTTGGCAACCAAGGAATGGGGGCCTCCACTCCAGGAGGAATATCCACCTTGTCAAAGTGGGATTGTAAAAATGAATACTCATCAAAATCCATGAAGTCATCAGGATCCATAAGTATGCCATCATCATAATCAAGACCATCCATGTTAATTATATTATTTTCTCCAGGGAAAGGACTGAAAAGACAACTGGAAATACCGTCCTAGATAAAAAATTAAAAATATCAATAAGAAAAGAAAAGAAACACAATATATTAGCTCTAACAGGGGTACAGTATAAAAACTAATATGTACCTTAGCTTGACTGTAGCCATCAGAGTTATCTTTTATGGATTTTCCCTTGTTCTTCAAGTCATTTTTCTTGTCAAGAATCATCACATCAATGGCATCTTCATCCTTGTCAACATCAATTATTTCATGAAGAATAACCTACAAAAAATATTTTTTTTACAAATACAGTGCATGAACTGATGGGAGTGAAAGGAAAGTGAAAGAAATTAAAGGTTAATGCCTTTTCTTTGAGAGTCAAGATTTGAGAAGGAAACTTTCCTAATGTTATCCTGAAGAGATTAAAAAAAAAAACTTAAATATTGATGAGAATGAAATGGAAAAGGATATAATTTATTGATTTCACTTTCTTTTCCACTCATGCCACACAGCAAGAGAAATTTATTTAATGAAGAAGTCTGATTCTTTTCTTTTCTTTTCCTCTCATTTTCTTTGCATTATTTCACTTGTTTCCCTTAGCAGATATAGATATCCTAAATAGTTTTAGAATATCTGTTCAAGGAAGAAAAAAAAAGAGAGAGGAACCATGGAAAGAGATCAACATCATTTAGCAAACAGTAATTAAGAAAGCAACGTTAACAATACAAAGTGAATTTTTGATATTCTTGCACAAAACTTAAGAAGCTGGAAAAAAAATAAATACAACACTATAATTACATAAAGAACCAGACAGCAAACTAAGCTGGATACCAAAAACGTGGGTGTTATATTCCTGCTACTTAAACCATTTATCTCGAAGCATTTAAGGGAGTAGTCATTCTATTCCTGCCATGGAGTAGATAAATCCAATGATGCAGGGATAAAACTGGCAGGTTATGGTACTGTAGCAGCAGCATTCCAGTAAATTTTCCAGCATTGTTGTAAGGATTAAGAGTATCTAGTCTTTGCATTTATTTAATTTGTTCATGATTGCTTGTACAGCACAAATTAGGTAAAATGAAGGTTACATGTGTTCTTGAGTTACTAGGATTTAGCCTCTTACAAGTAGTTACCGTCTCAAAGCCATATATATAGAAAAGGTTGGCTTTTTCAAGTCTATCATGAACTTAGAATTTTGATAATTAAAGTCTTTAACAAGGAAAGTGGTATTATATTCGTTTCCCTCTGCAACCTTAAGTCTCAATGGAGTACCAAAATATATCCATGGCTCCATGCCTCATTGTGTTCCCATACACAGCAATTGGTGTTGGAGCCAAAGACAATTCATAACTCTGCACCATACAATATCACACAAGTTGAAGAGAATAAAGAACAAAATTGCTGTGATTGCACCAGAAACAACATAAAATAGAAGCTCGTACTTATTTAAGCCTTTCAAACCACCCTTGAATCATAGAAATTTGTTTGAAACAGTCTCCTATTGAAACTAGACCGATTGTTAATAGCAGCTGCAAAGTCTGAGGTCGTTTGCAACAATAAATTAATCTATAGGATGGAAAAGGAAATGAGATTGGATGAAAGAGAACCATGACCAAACACCATAAAAGAGCACCAAACTCCGATATAGTCCCAACCTTAAGATATTACAGGTCAATTTATCAAGTTCAACTAGTTGGTCTCCCTTTTCCCTTCTCTCTCTAGTAGTGAGTAAGAAAGTAGTCTTTCTTAGTTTGAAATCTGGGGCTTACAAGATCCAGGACAGGGAGTTTTTAGTATTTCCTTGATTTTGGGCAGCTGTCCGAGGGCCTATGCACAAGTGCAAAGACAAGAACTGCTGAAGACATGTCTTCATTCTCAATTCTGCAGCTATAGCTAGGGCTTTGGAACACTAGTACCAAATTGCTAACATTTCCTCCCTTCATGCTCTCCCTCCTTCACTTCATGAAGGGGGAAGATGCCCTCCACAAGGCTTTGCTTGAGGCAAACCAGGTTCATACTAAATTAAAACAAGGAATAGAATGAATTGGTGGATAGCTTTCTATCGGTTCCGAGTCCAAGTAAAGCTGGTTTGACCATGCCCATGGCTGGATATAGCAAGTGTGCAGTGTGCTCCCAACCTCTTCATAGGCCAAGATGCAAAGTCCACAAGCAGTGGATTGAAGGATTCAAACAAACGACTCAATCCAATGTCAAACTAAGGACAGCACATGCATTGGGTCATTCGGTCACTACCTCGATCATAATCATAGTTTGCTATCTTCCCAAAGATAGCAAGCAGAACGGCAATTAGGCGGTGTGTCAGCCTCCTGAGCGGTATGGTATGAAGCCCGTCGACAATGGCTTTAGGGACATGCTTTGAATTAAGACCCCGAGTAGTTTACCGGACAAATTGAGTTGTCGTGATGATACCTTTCTTAGTGGAAGATCAAAATTCTCTTCATCACAAGACTGATCAGATCCGCCATGGACACCCAAGAGGCTCCACCAGGCAGGCTAAAAGAGTCAGCGGACAACAAGCAAAGAGTTATGTTTTCATTTCTTTGTAGTTTGACACAGCATTTAGAGGGGCATGACAGCAGATAGGGACTACCCGCATGGATGAGTTATCACATTATTCACCTGCCATGAAAAATAAGCCATAGCTAGAGAAGAGAAAGAATCCAGCCCACTAGTAGTACTCATCCCTCCGAAGCCGCAGAACAGCTCCCTATTCCGTCAAAAGTGAGATCAGATTACCCAACTAACTAGGTTGGTTTACAGAGTGTTGGAATAGCTAAAGCCCACTCCAAATCCATCTTTCAATGAAGAATGTAAAATTGTTCAGATGTTAGCAACAAGTCAAACTTATTTTTGAGCATTCTTAATCCTTATTAGCTTTAAAAACTTTCCAAATCGCGCTCATTAGTTCTAACATAATCCCCAACCTAGTTTCATCTATCAACCCATCCTACAACTAACCATTTTAACTCCAAAACCATTACATTACCACAAAAGTAGTGTGCTTGAGAGGGCCACTTAATGATCCCAAGTCCTGACACCCTTAGAATAGGCCAAAGGCATCTCACAACATTTTGAGAGAAAAAAAAATAATCCAAACAATAGAAAGGAAAGCAGCCCACTTTTCTTACAAATGCAAGTTTATAAAATATGTTGATCATTCCTTCTCTCCGAAAATAGCTTACTGTTAGCATTATAATTTCATTCAAACACAGCCATTCTCACTAGTAAAGGCTCAAAAGGTGCACCACCTATCAGTAAACCTCTCCGAAATCTCAGCCCTTTTCCCATTATAACCATCTCAATTATTCAAGCAATCAACAAAAAGGTACCAACTTTGACAATCACAGAGACATTAAATCCCCAGGAAAAAAGAATTAATCAGTTAAAAAATCAAGATAAAGTCATGATCGGAATAAATGAATAAAAAGAAAAGAAAGGCTCGAAATTGAACAAAGACAACAACTGTTTTTTACAAGAACCTGTTTGTTTTTGGGCTGTTTAGAGTGAGAGCGAGAAACAATCGGAGCTGGAGGAGGTGGGACTTCGATCACGTCAGGGTCCATGAACACTCTTTTTTTCCTGTTTCGTTAGTGAGAAAGTGAGAGGAAAACTAAAGAAACAAAGAGGAATTCCAATTCAAGAAAGGGAAAGGTAAAGAAGGTATTGAAAGAGGAGAGACTTGGAATTCAAAGGGATGTGTAGCGGCGGCGGCGGCTTCATTGATGAAGATGATGATGATGATCGGCTTGTGGAAGAATCAAGAAGGAATGAAACGCGGCTCGGCTCGGCTCGGCTCGGCTAGAAGACAGAGAGAAGTGGTTCAGTTTCGGTGTTTTCGAGGCTTCGCGCCTAGCAAAAGGGTAAGACACAGGTGGATGATTAGCACGAGTCTAGAGTTGCTTCCTCCTATGTGCCTTCTAATTTATTTCTTAAAATATTTTTTAATTTTATTTTTTTAGTATTTAATTGTAATTTTTGTTGGATTATCTTCTCAGTTACCATACTGATTATTGTGTCATTTTAAATAGATTTAAGAGTTTCAATGGAAAATCTCTCAACCGCTGGATTACTTGTAACAATTCCATGAATGGCTGAGATCGAAGAAAAAAGTTGGTAGAGGTAGTCGTAGTGTAGTGACACAGGAGCTGGACCCTCTGTCTTTCTCCGCAGACTTTTGCGAGTTTTCATGGAATGATACGAGGATTTTCCACATGTACTCGTGGAAAGTCTGGTTATGGGACCCACTTCTTCGTGGACTCCACGTAAGATATAGTACTTTTACTTTCTACTGTTTTTTTCTGAATTGTTTCTGGACAGTTCTTTCTGTCGATTAATTAAAGTTAAATATTATTTATGGAAATTATTAGATTACACTAAAATATGACTATTATTTCCTTTTTTCTTTTTATGCTTGCAATAAAAAATCAAATGAAATGCTATAGAATTAAAAAGGTGTAAAAATATTTTCTGACTATTTGCATTGTGAATTTTAAATTTAGCATTTTAATGATTCATAATTTTTTTATATAAATTAGTTACTAAAAATATATTCTTAATTAGATTTCAATTTATTTATTTATTTATTTTAAATAAAGGGAAAGCTCGAAAATGCAAATATAAAATGACTTGATTGTTAATATTTTTACATAAATTACGATAGTCAAACAACAAGTAAAATGAAATCATAAATCATAACATTTCAAATAAAGGTTTAGTAAATTTTAAAAGAAAATTATAAAAATTATTTTTTTAATATTATTGAATTATTTTAATATTTATTTTTTAAAAAAAAATATTTTTTTAATGTATTTTTAAATAAAAAAAATATTTTAAAGCCTGTTTGAATATGTTGTTGTGGTTGTTGTTAAAGTGTTTTTTTTAGAAATATATTAAAATAATATTTTTTAATTTTAAAAAATTATTTTTAAAATTAGTGTGTTAAAATGATATAAAAATACTTAAAAAATAATTTAAAGTGAAGAAAAAAATTAAAATATTTTTAAAATAGACGAAATAATAAAACAGAAGACAAGGCAGCTGATGCATGCATCGACGGTTGTCGTGGAAGAGATATACATACAGTGTCTGTGACGTATTGTTCACGCAATGCACATAAAATCTTATTTAAAAGAGACTAGGAGACACACAAATCATGATGATTTCTATGAGACATGGAATTCACAAGTTATGAGAGACGGAAGCCACTCTACTGACGTTCTCAAAGGGTCCGTACTAACCTGCTGCCTAGTGCCCCAATTCTTATCAGAGAATTATTCAATAACAGCCCAATGGCTTGTTTACACGTGGTTCAACAAGATAATCCCCCCCCGTCATTCGATAGGGAGCACTCTTATCGCCTGACAATAAATTTTGGGAGGGTCAGTGAATATATTAAAATTAAGAAATGTATTCATACATGTTAAAAATAATTTTGTAAGCGAGCTGCAATATTCCTGTAAATATAAAATCAACTAGGAATTTCATGTTAGTGAAGTTTTTTTTTATGATTTGATTTTTAAAAATAACTGCTCGTAGATTGTGTCATTTAATAACATGTTTATAATAAAAAAATATTAAAAAAATATTTTAAAATTATATTTTAAAGACTAAATTGTAAGTTTTTATATTTGTAAGTATAATTTTGCATAAAAAAATTTAGACTTTTTTTTTGGAATCATCACTTAATTTAATGAGTTTTTTACCCTTAACTATGGGGGAGTTACGTCCCCATGTGCAATCCTTTAGTTCCGCCCTTAATTTTGTAAGATGTGGAATCTATGTGGCCATAAACCCATTCACAAATGCTTTTGAAATGGATTTTTTTTGTTCTTCTAAAATATTTTTTAAAGATGAAAATTATTTATATTTTTTTATTCTAAGTTTTTTTCATATTGTTTTGATTCACCGATATAAAAAAATTATTTTTTTATATTTTTAAATAAAAAATATTTTAAAAACAATCATTATTATAATATCAAACAAACAAATAATAGAAATTTCTAACGCAAAACAATGACGATCTTAAATGTTTTTGAATTTTTCTTTTAATAATTTTGTTTTATTTTAACATAAATTAAATTATTTTAATCACAATAAAAATTTATTGTGTTTGTTTCAAGGTTTAAAACTAAAGATTAATTGTTTAAAAGATGAAGTATTAAATGTATATAAAAATAATAAGTGAAGGCTATAATATTAAAGACATATGTTAATATATAAAAATTGATAACTTCAAGTTATGATTGTTCTAGGAAAAAGTAATTTAAAGTGTTTCTGCACATGTAATTCAGTTAAAATAAAATAAAATAAATTTGAATGAAGTATTTTTCAAGTCATAGAAGGAAAAACCACAAAATTCATATATAATGGTGGGATACAATAAATATTAAATCAAAGTTTAAATTGAATTCAGTAAAAAATAATATATAAAATATAGTTGTGGGACCCCATAAGATTCCTGTGAAAATATTGCGAGTAATAATGTAACATGATGACACGGCAACGTTTTTTTTAAAATTAATAAAAATATTTTTTTAATATATTTATAAGCAAAAATAACTTTTAAAAACAATATTTACCACTTTTTCAAACACCATTACATATTTTAAAAATGAAAGTATGTGAGTGTGCATGAAATCAATCCGATATAAAACATGAAAGGATTGCAATATAAATATTGTTAAATATTATCAAAGGTGGTAGGAGTACAATAATAAATCAATTATGAGGCGGTGTTTAAAAATGCAGTAATGATTATTCTTAAAGTATTTTTTTATTTAAAAATAAATTAATAATATTTATTATTTTTTTAAAAAATATTTTTGATATCAACATATTAAAATGACTTCAAAACATAAAAAAATATTTTTTAAAAAAGATATGTTTAAAATAAAAAAAAATACTATAAATCCATTAAAATTTATTAACCGATAAGTGGATTGCTGGGAATGCGATCCGGCTGCCAAATTCAGGTCTAAACAAAAAGAACAGATGTTTAGAATTGTAAGAAATAATGTAATCGATTTGGGTTATAATCTTTGGTTTGAATGCAACTGTGTTCTCCGGTGGTTTAGAGTATAATTTCGGGCCTGAACTCAGAGCTGAGAGCCCATTAATAGGTCTGGCCCAATTCACGATTTCTGGCACCACCATCCGTTGATCACAACTCACACAGAGGAAAGAATTCATGTAGTTAGACTTAGGTTCTGACCGTATAGTAGTTCTCAGTTTCACTTCCAGTTGCTTAATATATATTCACTCGACAGCTCCGCCTCATGCAAATGATATCACTGTTTTGATTCGTTAATTCAATAGAAACTACTGGGTGCTAGTCGTTTGAAACTTTTATATCTTGGATTAAGATTTTATTTTATTTTATTTCCATTTTAGTATTTAAGCTTTCGAGAAAGAAAGAAGAAAGAAAATCATATAAACAGTAGAGAAAAAAAGTTGTAGATGATTTTATTGATAATATAGCTAAATTTTGATGTTAATGTGTTCGGTTTGCCTAGAAAAGTGCTAGTGAGGTAATTTTTCAGGTTTTATATTTTCATAAAAAGCATTTCGATGTTAATATATTTTTTTATTTAACTTTTTTTTGTTTTTTATCTTATTTAGGGGTGGTTTAAGTTGATAAATTAGTTTATAAAACTGTTTATTAAATGTTTTTATGTAAAAATAAATTAAAAAATATATTTTAAGTAAAAAAAACCCCAGCTTAATTTTCCAGCTATCTTTTTGATGGTTGAAATTTGGGTTTATAAATGATGTGTTGTCTAATTTATTTAAAAAAAATAGATAATTTATCTGTTTCTTAAAAAAAAAAGAGATGCTAGAACATGTTTTTTTTTTTGGTTATACCAAGTGTCTAGACCTAGCTACTATTGATTTCTTTTCAGTTTTTTTAATATTTTTTTTATTAAATTAAAAATAAATTCAAATTAAATGTGGTTAAGATTATTATCTAGGTCATGATCCACTAAGTTAACTTATTTTCACTATAATCAATCTAAAATATTATTGTTCTAGTTTATTTTTAAAATATAAAAAAAGCCTAATTTATATTAACTTTCTAGATATTTTTATATAAAATTCTCAGCTAAAAATATATTAAAATAATTTTTTTTCAAAATCTATTTTATTTTTTACATCAAAACTAGAAAAATAAACATAAAAACATGAAGCTAATATTTTTTTTTAAAAATTATTTTAAAAAGTATTAAAAAAAAGAACAGAAGTTATCAGAAAGCAAAACAGGCTATTCCATGGTCTATATGTGGTCAACGGTCACCATAGCGCATGGGAGTCGACTTCAACAAAGGGAGCTTGGTCCTATCTATGTCGACAGGGAAGGCCGGTGATTAATTATAACATAGCTGCAAGCTCACATGGCTATTTTATTGGCCTGGCCATAAAATATATGTGCTTTCAATTTTCCTGTCAAATTCATGGCTTCCTGTGCTTCCGATAAATCACAGTCAGGTCCATGCGATTATATTTCGATATAACTTCCATGATAATGGAACCTAACCCACCCCATTCTTAGCTTAGTGTGCGGCTCAACTTTTAGCGAAAATTAATTTTAAAATGGTGTTTAAAAATAATAAATTTTTAACTTTTAAAAGTATTATGTTTATAAAAAAATAATTATATCTTTATAACAACCTTCTTAAAATGAATATAATGATTAATATTATAATAATAAATTTTTTTATCTTTTTATTTGCTCGAGTTTTATAACGTGTGGCATAACCAGTCAGATTATGTAAGTTATAGTTTTATATAAAAATTAATAAATTATGAATTATTATCGAGTATGATTTATGAGAAAAATCACAAATGTAAAATTTGAGTAGAATTAAAATTCATGAAATCTTATTTTCAAATAATTAAAAAATAGTAAT